CCCCCCCCCCCCCCCCCCCCCGAAAAGTTATTTCTACAGCTCCTTACTTTGATTTCCGTATATGCCCCCGCCCCCCCCCATAGCTCCTTACTTCGATTTCCGTATATAGTTACTTCTATAGCTCCTTCCTTTGGTTCCCGTTTCGACTGTCCTTGACGTTGGTGTTTGGTGCTAGGTCTAAGGCTTTCAGAGCCGACGCGCTGCTTGAACACCCCAAGCCCCAAACCCCACCAGCACCCCCACAAATACCCTTTAATAGAGCCCTTATGGTCCTTAATAGCGGGTATTTAGGGTATGATAGAGGGTGGTTGGGGGGTGCTGGTAAACCAAAAGCCCCAAACAAAAAGCCCTAAACCGTAAATCTTTTCAGCCTTAAGTCGAAACCAGACCCTGAACCAGAACTGCTTTGACCATAGAAGCCCCTAAACCCTAAACCCTAAACCCTAAACCCTAAACCCTAAACCCTAAACCCCTAAACCCCTAAACCCTAAACCCTAAACCCTAAACCCTTAAACCCTCTTGGAGGAGCTTCTGGAGTTCAAAGGGTTGGAGGCTGATGACGATGAGGAGGCCTTTCCTTGAATTCGGGTCTGGGTATTGTAGGGGTTTAGGGTTTAGGGTTTAGGGCTTAGGGCTTAGGGTTCAGGGTTTAGGGTTTGGGGTATTGTAAGGCCTTAATAATTTGTTCAGGAATTTGGGGCCCATTATACTATAGTTACAACAAGGAGCCCTAAGGAACAATACAGGTAATTGTTCAGGCTTCTATATTTTCGGGTGCTTTTGCAGTTTTTGGGATTTGGAATTTAGGATATAGTAGGGCTCAACCTGTAGGGGTGTGGGACTTCAGTGATTTTTGGAGTTCGCATTTGGGCTTAGGCGTTCGGGTTTTTGCGGGCTTTAGGACTGGTGTGTGTACACGTTTGTTCGAGTTCTCGGATTGACTCTTGGGGGTTGGATCCGCAACTAAGGCACCGTACAGCCAAACTCGACAGCAATGCACCTAATCCGCTACACCTCTGACATGCCGCCTACCCTAAACCCTAAACCCTATAAACCCTAAACCCCTAAACCACCAGAGAGTTTTCAGTCTGGGAGTGGACCCGAGGCGACTTGTCCGGCGGGGAGTGGGGGGGCGGGAGGATTCCACATAAAGCCCTCAACCCTAGATTTTGTAGACCCCTCAACCCTCAAACCCTAGACCTTATAGACCCCTAAACCCCTAAACCCGTTAAACACCTAAACACCTGAACCCGAAGGCCAGGTCCAACCTTGAACTTGCAAATCCCAAATCCTTCTCGAAGCTTTGTGCTACGGCTTGAGGCGCAGCTAGGGGGGTTTGGGGTTTAGGGTCTGGATGTCTCGGTGTTTGAGTACATCCTGATTGTGACCACCCAAGACAAAACATTGCAGCCCGAGCGCTACATCCCTAAACCTTAATCCCTCAGCCCTAGAGCCTGTAAGCCGCAACAGATGACCGCGTACCGGCTGCACAAGAACCAGCCGAATCCGGATGTTTTGGTCTTCGAAGAGGCCTGGCCCGGCTGATGCCAGTTGTCATTTGTGTAGACCCGCATGTTGTTTATCGAGTGCATGCGCAATACAAGCTCTACGATGCATCACCGAATGTACCTATGTGTAGTGCATTGTGACGAATAGAACGCACAGCTCCAATTTGCGCGCGCACACACACACAGGCATACATGTATAATTACATATGTATATGTACTGCTCATGCACCCAATCGCAAGCATAACACAACATTGAAGTCAGTTGAACGCTTTTGTAATCGACCAGAACACATCAAAAGCCATGTGCTCCCCTGTTGGTGATTGTAGCGAGCATAGCACGAACATGAGCATGCTGGTTGAATATCCTGCAATTCTGTTTTCCTGGAACGTATTCCATATAATCGCACTAAACGATCTAATCGAGTAGCCTACAGTGTGATGTGGAATGCAATCTGCTATGTTCTGTCTATCCTCTGAGAGAATCCTAGATTGTCCAGTCCAGGACTTGTTGGGGTCGCTTTGGGTGAGGGTCACTGTTAGGTGGAGGTATCTACATACCGCCTGAGCATGCCATGTGATAGCTGCTATGATCTGCTACATTGTTTCTTTTTTCTAGCAAGCTCGGTTGTTCTGGAGGAGGTGGGTATCAGGCCATGCCGAAACCCTGAACCTTAACCTTATATCTTCAGCTTTGATCCCAGGCCAAGACGTAGTTTCAAAACGCTGAACCCTACAACGCCTAGTTCTAGTCTACATTGTAGTAGCTTTAGCAAGCCGTACTTGAGCTGCATTGAAACCGCAGTCCTGGCTATTTTAGAAGCCGTGAGGGTCCACAATGTTCGATCGGGTTTGGGAGTTTCGGGTTTAGGGCTTGGCGATGATATACCGTCTTGGGTCTTAGTTTTGGGTTTACGGGGCTCGGGTTTAGGATCCATGCAGGCTTACTCAAGCTGAAATCCAATCCAGCTCTTCAGCCAAAGCCCTTTCAGCCCACCGTTTGCTTGATTCTGCGTTGCTTTCTTCACCCGAAGACAGAAAACAGACAGCTTAAGTAAGCCCTCACCCGAAACCCTAAAGCCTAAACCGACGCAGTATTTTAGTCTGCAAGAGAGCCTCATCCACCGTGCTTGGCGGTTGCCAGGATCGCGGTGAAGGAGGCGATGGTGGTTGGAACAAGAAGTGCCTCACTTGCGCAAAGATTCGCAGTACAATCCTTACCCTAATCACCAAAGTGTAGATCCGTATCCACCGAAATGTCAAAGAGTTTGTGTGTGTGTGCGTATGAATATATAAACTAAAGTAGCAAATGAAAATTAAGTACACACACATACATACATATATACGTATATACATATATATATATATATACAAATCCTCTACGTTATGTGCAGACCCCAAGCCTGACCCCCTCCATACCAATACTAGATATTTGGGGGAGCTTTTCTTTATACTTATGGTATACTGTTAATTACCCCGAAACCCTATTCCAATTATTAAGGCCCTTATATTATCCCAACAAAGACCTACGATGAAGACTATAGGTACGACCCTGCACCCCACCTCTGGCCATGAAGAGCCCTAAGCCTAAACAGGTTAAGGGTTTACAGTTCAGGCTTCGGGATTTAGGGTTTAGGGTCTAGGAGGGGTTTAGGGTTTAGGGCCTAGGGTTTAGGGTGTAGGGTTTGCGGCCCAGGAGGGGTTGAGGGTTTAGGGTCTAGGAGGGGTTTCGGTTTCAGGGTGTGGCGTACGCCACCTCCAACTTTAAGCTGTTGGTCCGCATGTAAATGCCAGCAAAAGATCTAGAAAACCTCCTTCACCTCGAAACCGCAACCCTAAAAGTGTACCCAGCTAGTATAAAGTATATGCTTGGGTCCTAAACCCTAAACCCTAAACCCTACAGAACTACGAACTACATTAGACAGTGAACGTACCTAGCCCTTTCCCTTATTCCCTCAACGCAGTTCGTTAAAGCCTACACCCTAAACTCTAAACCCTGAACCCTAAACCGTTACCTCCAGGTTCCAAGAGTTTGGCGGCTCGAAGGTCAAGTTTGTGAAGGCCCAGCGACAGCAATCGTTGTTAGGTTTAGGGTTGAGGGTTTGGGTTCAGGGTTTGGGGTTTAGGGTTTAGGGTTTATGGCTTAGGCTTGGGCTTTAACTGGCCCTAAACCCCTAAAACCCTAAACCCTAGACCTGGAACCCTGAACTCTGAATGGCCATTGTCGGGCTGAAGTGCCGGGCTCCGGGCTGTAGCGGGGCTTAGCTTTCCGATAATCCTCCTGGGGTGAGATGAAGGCAGTTTAGTGCTCTCGGTTTAGTGTTGAGGGGACCCAACCCTAAGGGTCCATGTACATATATATATATATATATATATGTTTATTTTTTTATGAAATATGCCTTAACATGGTCCCTTTTTAGGAACTTTATGACCCAAGCATATACTAGATGGTTGCGTGGACCCATCAATCGTAGCTTCCTTGGCTCAGGTACGGTTAGGTTTCAGGATGTAGGGCTATATGATACTGGGCTGCCAGCGCTCGATGGTTAGGGTTCAGGGTTTGGGGTTTAAGGCCATAGGATTGTGGGATGCCAGGGCTTTACTATTAGGGTTTGGGGTTTAGGGCTTTATGACTATGGGATGCCAGCGCTTCATCGTTAGGGCTCAGGGTTTAAGGTGCAAGGCTTAGGAATATACGGCATGATGCGCAAGAAATGACAAAATCCTAACCCTTAAGCCCTTAGGCACAGGAAGCCTACACTCCGATATCTCAAACTCCAGTTGAAGGCATCTTAGGATTCTCCAGCCCTTGGTTCCAGCTCCTCCGTTGCATTGAAACTCTGAAGTTCGACGTTCAGCGTGGGATATAGACAAATTTCGGAGGTTCCCTAATTTAATTAGAGTATAATACACACCAGAACCCTATTCCAATTATTAAGGCCCCTAAACTAGTTCTCATGGGCCTAAGGCCTCAGAGTTTAGGGCTTATCGGGTTTAGGGTTTAGGGCTTCGGGGGGTTATGATTTACGCTGTATGGGCCGAAAGTTTTTTGAGTTTAGAGTCTTCTTGGGTTTAGCGCTTTAGGGCTTTCGAGTTTTGTCCTTAATTGGTGACCTAAGGGTTCAGTGTGCAAGGGTTTCAGGGCACGGCTTAGCATAAAAGACATATTATACGGCTTTCTTGCTCTGAGATTCTGCAGGCTTTCGGGTTTTGGTGTTTAGGGTTGTGTTTGCCCTAAGCTCTAAACCCTCAAGCCCCCCACCCTAAACCCTAAACCCTATAAGGCCCATAAGGGCAGAGCTTCACGTGTGGAGCCTCCCTGCAGTTCCCTGCAGGGGCTACAGGGCAGCATTAGCGTTTAGGGTCAGGGTTTCGGTTTCGGGGTTTAGGGTTTAGGGGTTTAGGGTGGGATAATTAGTACTACTATGCCCTCATCGTCCCCAATTATAAACATGTATGGTACAACATAACCGAAAACCTAATTTCAAAGGTATATGAACTCTGATCGCAGCGGCGATGCTTGGCTGTGCTCATTGTCATGCTACGACTGTCTATGCTGTGATCTTTAGCCCGGCATCCCTACCGGAAACACGGGAAGCGTCTTGTTGAGCATCTTCTGTTTTGAGTTTAGGCAGTTTAGGCCCCTCCACGACAGGCGCGGCCAATATGGAATTAGTACATTTGCCGCTTCCTCACAAAAATCAGCAATTTTTAGCACCAGGTGCTCAAGAGATGTTCAACAAGGGAGCCTCGTCTCCAAACCGTTCCATCGACCATGAAGCCGCCAAGACCCGCTCCCCAGACCCCCAAAAGGGTCTAAAAAATAGATCCCCTAATTGGGGACCCTAACTACTAAAGGGCACTTTATAGGAGCCCCCTTAGGGGATCTATTTTTTAGATCCTTTTGGGGGGGTTTGGGTCTCGACCAAGGAGTTCGCCACTGGGAAGGATAAGTATCGAAGAGGCGAAATCAAGAAAGCATTGGAGAAGGCCGGTCCGAGCTGGGTTTAGGGTTTAGGGTTTAGGGTTTAGGGATCAACTTTGCGAGCGATTCTAACATGCCTGAACTCAGGACTACTGCTCAAACTCTGGTAATACCCTCGTGTCTCCTTGTTAGCATATGTACCGCAACATACCGAAAGACCTGATTCTCAGTATTGAGGCCCCTGTTTGTTGGATCCCTACTCTGAGACTGTAAATACATGGACGGAAGAGAGTATTGCCGCAGCTTTTCGCAGTTTTGTGACACGAGGATCAACTAACAGCATATGTTCTCTCGACCCTGACCTGCAGCACACATTCGTAGATATCCTTGTTCGTGGTTCGGGTCGTGTGCGGAAGAAAGAGGACAGCCAAAGCATAATTACACCACAGCACGTAGGATGGATACCAGAACGTGAGCATAAACATGGGGTTAAACCGATGCTGCGGAATACATGTATATATATATATATATATGTATACATACATATATATATATATATGTATGCGCTATAAGAATCTGGTACAAGACCATATAATCATGGGTGGAGGTGCTAGTTGTAAGCATGCCAAATTCTACAACTAGAAGAAACCATGAGCCCTTGCCAGAGGCCAACTCGAAGTCCCAAACCTGCACCCACACTCGGTGTGTAGGCTTTCGGCATCAGTCATAAGGACCCTTGGGGGGTAGGCGGGCGGGGGGTAGGGGGCCTTAATCTCTGCGAGGCCCTACAGTCACTACTGCATCTTGGTGTGCGTTTCAGATTAGGCATCCTACAAAGTTGAGGTTAGGTATAAGAAGGCTCTGTACCACAAGACCCCGTCCCGAGTATGGATGCAACTTCTTCTCGTGTTCTGTGCTCTGAAATCCTTTGAAGCCTTCAGCAAAGCCGCCAGGACGAGAAGAAGCAGCGGAAAAAAGGCAGTGCTGCCTTCTACTGAGCGCACAGAGACCATCGCATCCCTTAAGTAAAGGTTTAGTGTGCAAGGCTTTAGGGTTTCGTGTTCGGGGGGTTCAGGCCCAATGGATTCAAATTCATTGAAAGTTTGGCTTACTGCAATTCAAAGGTCTGTGCTCAATATGATGTGGTAAGTACCTAAAGCAGAAGGTCAAGCAGCGCAAAAGTTGGACCGAATGATAATATCTCAGGATGTTGGATCTGGGGTGGACATTGACCATAAGGCCCTAAGCAGAGACTTCGATCAGAAGTCCTTTGTGTAAGAGGCTTCGGGAGGGCAGGAGGTACTTGGGTCTGGGCCTAAAGCTCCAGTCATTCCTTGAACAGCCCCTGGAGATAAGTTAGCAGTTGCGGTAGAAGCTGTAGGGGAAATGCTCAGAAGTTAGGGAAGAACGCTGTGTTTAGAGGCTTTTCCCAAGCATTAGACGGATCAGTGATCCTTCGTTTAACATCAACTGTTGAAGGATCCTGCTACTCAGGGTTCGTACTGGTTGTACCATAGGTTGTTCACTGCACTTCGTGATTCCTTCATCGTGTTGAGGGTGTAATTGTACTGCGCATAATGTTTACAGTTTTCCTGATGCACTGATTCTACTCTAGGATATAGTAAGGCGTGTGGATAGTGTGGAGTCTGGTGCAGCCGGAACCGAGTTTTCGCTATCGCCTGCGTGCGGCAGATCGCAAAAGCTCGGCATGACCTTTGCCCACTTGTTTCTGACTATGCCTAACCCCCCAAGTACCTACTATATAGGGTACTAGAGCCCCTAGGGCCCTATATAGTAGGTACCTGAGTAGGGCCCTATATAGTAGGTACCTGGAGGGTTAGGGTATGCTATCCGGGGTCTGATCTGGGATATCGGGTGGACAGCTCAAGGGATGGGAATCGAAGCAGGAGTAGTAGCTACGCTGATTAATCCCCGTGACAACCCCCCCCCCCCCCNNCCCCCCCCCAAAAAAAAAAGAAACAATCTGAAAGGCTAATGCTGATGCACAACATCCTGTATCATCCGACTGCATGGTAAACTTCAACCCTATGCCGGGAATGACATAAGTGTCACCATTTCGGCATCATGAACCCTAAACCCTAAACGGAGCTACACACCCTAAAAACCCTACGCCCTGAACCCCTAAACCCTAAACCCGTGTGGAGTAGGGCTCGAGGGGCCAAGCGCCACATACACTTTTATGATCATTAGCAGCCGGAATAGCCAGACAAGGGACAGACAACTGCAATGCGGAAGCCGTACACGCAGAAATCAGAAATCCTCGACCCCATATCCTAGACCGCGATGCTGAGGCCCTAAAATGAAAGCCGGGCATCCACACTCTAAGATTGAGCGTCTGCATCCAGCCCGGCAATCCCAACGAACTTGGCCCCAAACCCTACAAAATGGTAGGTTATGGCTGGTTATGGCTCATGACCCGTTTATTTTTAGAGGAGAACCCTGAAGACAGTAGGTCAGTAGGTTTGGGAATTCCAGGCCCTCAACCTGCTTCCCTGCCCGTAGGGGTCCATGTTTACTTCTGGTATATACTTGTGTGCGAAAGTACTTAGGCCATCTGAGCCCAAACCTTAAGCCCTAAGCCCTACAAACGGTATATTCTGAGCCTAAACCTTAAGCCCTAAACCCTAAATCTTGAAGCCGTAACCCTAGGATTCGAAAACGTCCATTGCGACCCGCCCTGGAGCTCCCTTGCGCAGCTTAGGGTTCGTGGGGCTAGATGAGGGCTTGGGGTTTTTGAGGGTTTAGGGCTTAGGGGCTTACGGTTTAGTGTTTAGGGTTCAGGGCTAGGGTTTAGGGTTTAGGTTTTAGGGGCTTACGGGTCGGTCAAGTCCATGTCAGGAACGTTTTGGCTCGAATCGGCGTGAGACTAGCAGAATTTTGCGAGCTCTACAGTCTACACCGTGCTTTTCAACCCTGCCAAAGCTTTATAGCCCTGTAAACCCTAAATCCTTGCATGGCCTAAAGCCTAAACCCTACTTAGACCCAGGACTGAAATAGTCCGCTTGGAAGTGTTATGTACAACATACGTTAGCCCCCGCAGCTCTACACCGCACACCCCAGAAGCAGAACAACGGATGCGCACAACCTAAAGCCCAACCTCCGACCTCGAGACCTGAAGCCTGACACCCAAACCCTAAACCCTAAATTCCCTAAGCCCTAAACCCTAAACCCTAAACCAACCAACCTACCTACACCCCGAACCCGCACTCCTACACAAAGCCGGCATTGCCAGGCCGGAAGACCCTGAAGAACCTGCCTTCTTAGGGTTCCTTATTAAAGATTTAGAGTTTAGGCTTAAAAGGTAGGGTTATTTCGGGTCCTTGTAAACCCTATATCCTAAACCCTACCCTGATCAGACGAAGGCATTCTCGCAAAAAATAACTTAAACCAAAACCCCTACAGCCCAACCAATCCTCCTCGCCCCCAAACTCCTTAAGCTCTAAAGCCTAGACCCTGAACCCAAGCACCTAAGCAGTCCAAACGATTTCCAGAGACCCTCCTACGAGCTTCTTTCATGAAAGATGCGCCTCTGGCTTGCCGCCTGTGCTGTCCCTGGCTACACACCACGGTTTAGGGTTTGGGGCTACCCAGCACGGTTGAGCTGCCCTGTATGCTTGGGGTTTCTAGTTTTGGTGATCTCGTAGTAAGGCGGCTCCTTAGCTGTATGATTTTCTGGAATTCGGTGTATGAGCTCTGATAGATATCAGAGATGCAGAGCCTTAGTCAGGAAGTAACTAAGCAACGACAGGGCCATAGTCAGGAAGCAAACACATAAGACTGGATGGGATTATGGCCCTTATCAGAGAGTCCTTGTAAAGACTCATGCTCTCTTTTGGGCTTGAGACCTCGCGGCGTCTAGAGAAGCGGAGGGCGAGGCCCCTTAACCTTAAACCTCACCCCCCCCCCCCGAGTTTCCCGGTGGTATTGAACTTAACATAGAGGTCGGAATCTTTAGTAATGGTGTAGTCCTGGTATGATCATGTCCCAATGCCACCCAACTCCGGTTCTTCTTACTAATGCCGCTGTAATTCGGTCCATAGTTGGGGACCAGAGAGGTGTGTTCATGTCTTCTTGGTGTGGTCAGGAGCCTTGTGTCGACGTCTTAACTCGCATGATTGCTTTCTTGTTCATAGTATATACATGTATATACCCGAGCCGTTATGAAACGCCTTATATGCTTACTTTGGATCCAAGAGGCTCGTAGACACAGGGTACAATAGTTGTGCGGTTGGGGCGGCGTCCTTCATCCAACGCGTGGGGACGAGAAAGCCATAAACCCTAAACCCGCACCTTACACTACAGTCAAGGCCTTGAGTCATTGAAGAGACCTGAGACCTGGCAACCGAGAAGTTGAACACCTGCCTCGGCCCCGAATTATCAGACATGACGCCGGTTTGCGAGAGCATCGTGGATGGTGAGGTCCTAGGATACGAAAAACCAGGTGACCTAAGAAAGACATTGCGTTTGAGGGACCGCAGATCCTAAGCCCTAGGCACTCCCAAACCCTAAACACTTCTAAACCCTAAACCCTAAGCCCTTTAGTTCGAGAATTGTTCGAGGTGCAGCCGTGGCTGCCCTGGCAGGCTCGCAGCACCAGTGCCTAAAGGACAAGGGGACATAGGACCGACCCAGGTTCTTTTAGGGTTCCTTTACAGGGCTTCTTTAAAAGGTTCCTTTCGTGGTTCCTTTTTTACTGAGGAGTTTCTTTTGCTCACGGTTGCGTGGTGTCACGTACATGCCTACGAGACGTAAGGAGTAGGGTTACAATTACAGTTCAATTACGGTAGATTTCAGTAGGACCCTATAGTGCAGCTATTTCGAACTCTCACAGGGTCCCCGTGCCCAGGTGGTACCGTGGATAGTCTGGCCCCAGAGTGTCGAAGGCCACCTAGACTCTTAGACCCTCCATCCTATAAGACCCTAAATACCCTTAATCTGGGACCATATACCCCTATTCGAGGATGTTTGCAGGGTCCTGGTATATACTCTGTGAGTACATGGATCCTTCCCCCCTCCCTCCCGAAGAGTCCAAAGGACCTAATAATGACGAGCAGCAGTGTAAGTTCGTGTCTGGGGGGGTGGGTGGGTAAATGCCTGTTAGTACTTGGACTCTTGGGGGTACGAGGTAGGCTTTGGAGCAGGGCCCGCTTTTATCGAGGAGCGGGGCAGCTGTAATACATATATATATATATATGTATGTATGTATGTATGTATGTATGTCTCTAATCATAACCCTGCGAATGGCTGGGTGCTAGCTGCTTGACTGAGGGGTTGATTGCGTAGCTTATAAGCCCTGATTTCTGCCAAGACCCCATCAGCTACTTAGTACTTCGTGTTAACTACGCCCCAGGCGACGAGGCGGATGCCGAATGCCAGGCCAAATCAGGGTTCAGGGTTTACTCAATATGTGTTGAGGTCCGGGCTTGTGGAGGTCACGTTTTATTTCCTATCGGTTTAGGTCCTATCTCAACAGGGGTTAGCAGAGTTTGGGATAAAGCCGTGCGTTACGGGGCGGGGCGATCAAGGCGCGTTGGAACCCAAATGTCTCCATGCCAAAGGGGCCGACCGGTTAATAGCGATGTCGGGTATCGGAAGAAAGGGCCCTAAACCCTAAACCGGTAAGGGGGGGTTTGGCCACTTGTAGCGACTGTTTTGCATAGTCTTCCACGAAACAGTGTTGAATGTCGAAGTCCCAAGCTCCGTAAACCTTAGCATGTAGAGCAGTTTCAGCCCCCAAGCCCTGAACGCCAACTCAAAACTCTAAAGCCGAACCCGAATGCTCAAACCAGGAACCGGACCTGGCATTTATTTCTTGAGAGTTCGGCAGCGTACTTCAGCTCCGCAAGTTTGCGATGCTGGGGAAAGTGGTGAACCGCTTCTTGGGTTCGGGGGTTCGGGATTAGGGTTTAGGGTTTAGGGTAGGGATGAGGGTTTAGGGGTTAGCGAGAGCGACGAAAGCGGCAAAGGTGGGAACAAC